CTCTGTCTCAAAAAACAAAAAAACCCCAAAATGATGTGGTACTAGAATATTGATGAAGGATGTGAGTTTAGTTATAGATGTCTTTTGATGTGTATGTTTAAGAAAATACACAGGCTCGGCACCTGTGGCTCAAGTGGCTAAAGCGCCAGCCATATACACCTAAGGTGGTGGGTTCGAATCCAGCCCAGCCTGCCAAACAACAATGATGGCTGCAACCAAAAAATGGCCCAGGCTTGAGCCCGGGAGTTGGAGGTTGCTGTGAGCTGTGATGCCATAGCACTCTACCCAGGGGGACAGCTTGAGGCTCTGTCTCCAAAAAAAAATACACAGACGGGAGGCGCCAATGGCTCAAAGGAGTAGGGCACTGGCCCCATATACCAGAGGTGGTGGGTTCAAACCGGCCCCAGCCAAAAACTGCAAAAAAAAAAAAGAGAAAATACACAGATTTTTAAATTTTGTTTTATGAAGCCCCCAGCTCACATACCTTATGTCCTTGTTAGCTATTTTATGCTGCCTTTCTCTCACCTAAATTGTTCTTTTTCTCTTTTCCAGACAGCTGAGCCTGCTTGCTTTGCTATTTTACAGTAATTTTATGGATTTCTTTTTTTGAATGAAATTTCATGTGGAATTTTGAGGAGCTGGGCAAGGAACAAGGCATACAGGAGCATGCAGAGGAAGTGGCTCTTCTTTCCTCTGCCCTGCCATATCCTGAGCAAAAAAACTAGACCTTGTCTTCAGGAAGCAGAGATGTGACCGAGGCTCATTAAAGAGCCAATCCCACAGCCCTTGGAAGCCACTCTTGAGCCCGATTTGGTTGAAGCCTAGGTCTTCCCTGGCGAGTTCCAGAATGGTGGATTTACTGACTTCTGACTAACTTTTCTCCCTGCCAAGGCCAACACCATCTGAGGAAATGTCTTTTCCAGCTACAGCCTTTTGGGAATATCTGCTTTCCTGCCTCCTGGATCTTCTTCTCTGCCTTGTGTCACAGCCCCTCTCCCCCCCTGTTGCACGTGGCTGTGCTCAGAGCTTTTGCAGCTGTGACCTCACTGAATCCACATGGGCTTTTTTCCCTACTGTGGAGGATCCATTGCTTTACCTATAAACCAGTGGTTCTCGGGCAGAGGTGGTTTTATCCCCAGAGACCGTTGGCACCATCTGGAAACATTTTTGATTTCTGTGCCTGGGGGCAGTGGAGTGTGCACTGCTGGCATCTTATGGGCCAGAAGCCAGGGGTGCTGCTGAGCACGTGCAGGGCACAGCACAGTCTGCGGTACCTAGCAAAAAATTAGCTGGCTCCAAATGTCAGTATTGCCAAGACTGAGAAAGCGTGATGTAGATAGTGCTGTTCCTGCCTCCCTGGGTAGGGTTAATTCCCACCCCAACCCTGGACACACAGTGCCTTTTGAAACCAATTCAACTGGCTGGGAGGGACTTAACCGGGATCCTTGAATTCTTCTGAGGCTGTGACCTTTGATACCTCTGCATACAGCAGGAGCTGTCCTCGAAAGGCTGGTGGCTGCTATGTACATGACAGATACACACATACGCGGAAGGACCGAGGTGGGACTGTTCTCTGTGTGTGCTGTGTAAGGCAGGAAAGGACAAAGCTCTCTTAATTGTCCAGAGTGACCTGATGTGTCCTGGTATGTTTGGGTCCCTTCCCTGGGGAACCAGGATATCAGAAATAATTTTCCTTCTTGTGGAAGGACAACAGGGAGCTAGGATAGAAAAGGGCAGTAAGTTCTAACTCATTATTTATGAGGTCAGGAATCCTTTTAAAAAGCCTGTGTCTCATTCTTTACCTATTCCCTTCTGCAAGACCTGACTGTGTGCACAGGGAGATAGATGGAAAAAAGCCTTTGCCCATCTTCTAGGAGATAGATCCTGCTCCCATCTCCTCCCAGCCATCCTCTAATGCACCGAAAGGAGAATTCTGCTCCCCTTCAAGATTAGGTGCCTCTTCTCCAGACAGTCAAAGATAGGAGAAACAGGTATCCATTAAGCTGGCTTTTGAGGGAAGAAGAGGGGGATAATAGGGGAAGGAACAACTGTAGCATCACGTTTGCACCTAGAGCCTGGGCCCCACTTTCCCTCCCTCCCCAGCCACTCCAGAATTGATAGTCCCAATGCTCCCTACTGAGATAAAGGCGTGGAGGGCAATGGGCAGGATATATCACAACTAAAGGACAAAATTGCCACTCCTTTCTCATTGGTGCTTCAGGAAGGGCTTCCCCACTGTCATGTGGCCCCAAGCCCAGTAACCTTGTAGAAGGGCTTGGCCAGACAGATGGCTTTTGTTTTTGAGTCTCCAGTCCTCCCTCAGTCAATGAAAGTAAGCCATAGCTGCTTTCTTGTCAGTGGACTTTGAGATAAAGAGAAAACAAATCTAGAATTCTATTCATTTGGTATGTCAGGAGTCATACTGGAGGTCTAATGCAATGACGTAACACAGCTGTTCATGTAGAAAACAGTCGTTGATGTTGCCGCCCCTCCTCAGAACTCTGCTGTTCCTCTTCTGTATTTAAAAACGAATTTAAATGGCTCTAATTCTTTTTTTTTTTGAGACAGAGCCTCAAGCTGTCCCCCTGGGTAGAGTGCTGTGACATCACAGCTCACAGCAACCTCCAACTCCTGGGCTCAAGCAAGTCTCCTGCCTCAGCCTCCCAAGTAGCTGGGACCACAGGCGCCCGCCACAACGCCTGGCTATTTTTTGGTTGCAGCCATCGTTGTTTGGTGGGCCCGGGCTGGATTCGAACCTGCCACCTTAGGTGTATGTGGCTGGGGCCTTAGCCGCTTGAGCCACAGGTGCTGAAGTTAATTTTTTATTTTATATTAAATTTTCAAGTTACCTTTGGGGGTTTTCCTCATGTGAATCTGCTTATTAGATTCCACTGGGTGTTTCTGGTGTGAGTGGAATGCAATGGAAGTGTGGAGTTATTACTGCTCCAAGGAATGGCCTTTTTGGTGCTTCCAGTTTACACGCATTTCCCCCCAACTGTTAGTTCATTTGTCACAGCGGGTGAGTGACTGGAGAAAGAGGGAAGTAATTTCTTCCATTAAATAGACTAATTCGTTAGGGTGGTAGCAGAGGAATTGTAGGGGAACCTTCCAGCTCACAGTCTAGGGCTGGAATGTTACACTGTGCCTCTTTGTTTTCTGAACCCTGTCTTCAGGGAGCCCAGAAGTGTCATTACCCCCACTCAGTATAGATGCTCATAAAACATTCTTGAAGTACTTTACTCCTTTGTTTTTGTTTCCAGTCAGATAGAACGTAGTGGGGTCCCTTCCTTAGATGATGTAATCCTTTTCTAGGCCCAAGGCTGCCCCTCAGGCTCTAAGATGATGCTCAGATCCTAGAGTGTTTAGACTTGTTTGAGGGTGTGGGTAGGTAGATTTAGGAACAATGATGGAAAGTTATTATTTTTAAAGTTTTCTAACCAAAGAATTTGAAAAGCTATCCAGCCTAGGAAGCCCAGTGGCTCTGAAGAGGCAATAGAGCTTGTCAGTAATAGATGGGGGTGGGAGGACATTATCACACTGAGGATGAAGACCAGTCCGTGCTGCTTCTCAGGCCACACCAGGCCACCTCAGTAGCATTCCATTCCTCTTCCTTTCCTAAATTGCCCACCAGCCTCTTTCACCTTCCCAGTGTCTCTCTCCACAGTGCTTAGTCCCTGCTCATCTAATATGTCAACCTGTTGGGGGCTGAGGCTTGCACATGGC